TTCTTTACTCTCATCCTTTTCCCTACAGTAAAAGTTTAATAAGCTATGCTGCTCGGACTTTTCAAAAATGCCTAGAGGTGAACATTGAAACTTCCAAAAGTAGGATCCGACAGGGGTGCAAGCTCATTTTTGGGAAGTCCAAGCAATATAGTCTTTAGGGTGCTAAAGTGAATTAACCAAGGTTAAGAAGTATAGAGATTGCTTTATCATCCTTCTTTTCGCTTGTGTGGATTATTGATGCAGGATACAAGGGACAGATTTGCAAGTTATAGTGGAAAATGAGGAGCAAATTGAGCTTTCATTCACAAGAATGTGGAGTCCAGAAGTCCAGGGTGAACAAGCTCCTTTGTATATAGATAGGAGGTTCTTGTTGAATTTAGATTTTTTTCTTCTAATCGTTTGAGTATAATTCGTCATTAATGATGGACTACTTCCTTACTGATATAGACTATTTGCAGGTTTGTAGTATTTCGTGATGTTCCGGGATTTTATTCATATGCCATCTTTGAGCACACGAAAGACATGCCTGCTTTCCACCTTAACACGACCAGAATTGCTTTCATGCTCAATAAAGAAAAGTAAGAATCTTCATAGCTATATTTCTCAAAATAAAGCAGCATGTGGAAGTGAACAAACTTGATTCATTTGCAGTGGCCATATCTCTTGTTATTCAAAATATTCTATCATGGGAAAGGAATTTACCGTAAGGGCGTAAGAAAAGGAGAGAAAAAGATCAGATGTAAAACTTTAAAATGTTTGGATATAGTCTGAAATGCATTTGTCCAATGTTCTTTTGAAAGAGCTCTTCATAAAACAAAATGTTGTTTCGTTAAGGATGTAAAGATGATCAAATTCTAACAAAATGAAATTGAGAACGGAAACAACAAAAAGTAACTCTCTATTATCCTTCTGGCATTACCAGATTTCACTACATGGTCATAACAGATGATAGACAAAGATTTATGCCTAGTGCAGAAGACCGGCTTCCAGGGAGAGGCAAACCATTAGCCTATCCTGAAGCGGTTCTCCTCGTTGATCCTATAGAGCCAGAGTTCAAAGGAGAGGTATTATACTAGAGGGAATTTACAGCATTAAATGAGTAAGGCTGTATTGTAAATTAGAGGTTATAGTGAACTTAATTTACTGTCTCCTTTGGATCCCCAACTGCAGGTGGATGACAAATATCAGTATTCACTTGAAAACAAAGAAAATCAAGTGCATGGATGGATATCTTTTGACCCTCCTGTGGGATTTTGGCAAATCACTCCGAGCAATGAATTTCGAACAGGAGGGCCATTCAAACAAGATTTAACCTCCCACGTGAACCCGACCACCCTTGCTGTAAGCAGTTAACATGCTAATGTTTGTTCGATTATAGACAGATAACTGTAATCATGGTTTCAGTGAAAAGATGCATTTAGTTCTTTTTGTGATCCTCCCAATTTTTTGTAGTATAGCGGTTGGCGAGTAATCAAAGACATACAATAGTTTAAATGAACACAATCACATAGTGAATTTTCTCTGACTTCATTCGTATGATTCCTCTAAACTATAACTCCCTACAAGTAATTTCTTTTTAAAACAATTGCAGATATTTCTAACTTCCCACTATGCTGGTACAGAGCTTCTGGTAAAATTCGAAACTGGGGAGGAGTGGAAGAAAGTCCTCGGCCCCGTGTTCACATATTTTAATTCTATATCAGACAAAGACATGGCTCTATCGCTTTGGGATGACGCAAAAAGACAGGTCACGAACAAAGAGAAGATAGAAGTTGAAATCACAACAGTAAATCAGTATAGAGAATAATAATTCTTAACTTGACATTGTTTCGCATTTTATATTATTTAGATGAACGAAGAAGTCCAATCCTGGCCTTACAGTTTCCCAACTTCTGAAGAATTTCCTAACTGTGATCAAAGGGGCGCAGTTAGAGGTCGATTGCTTGTGCAAGACAGGTACTGTCCTCTCTTACCTTAATTCCACATTTTGCATTTCCAGGTTCAGTAACTATGTTGTCTGAGTTAGTCTTATGATCTTATGGACAGATACTTGAGCAAAGAAAATTTACCTGGAAAAGCTGCATCTGTAGGACTAGCAGCGCCAGGAGACGCTGGATCATGGCAAAGAGAGAATAAGGTACTCTTCTCTATCGCTCTGAATTGAATGGGAAACACAGTGCCTTATAAGTAAACAAGCTCATCTAACCTGTATGATTCAGTTAAAACTACTAACAGACATGATATGCATATTGCCATTATACCAGGGTTACCAATTTTGGACTATGACGGATGAGGATGGCTGCTTTGTCATTAATAACATACGTGCAGGGTCATATAATCTTTACGGAGTGGTGCCTGGATTTATCGGAGATTACAAGTATGAAGTTGTAATAACTTTAACAGAAGGTTCTATTAAGTAGCTGCAATTTCAAATAGAATCTATGCTGAAACTTTCTGAGTTATCAAAGGTTCTAACTTCTAACCATGATATTTAATATTAATGCAGGTTGTGATATTGAGCTGGGTGAGATTGTTTATGAGCCTCCAAGAGATGGTCCTACCTTGTGGGAGATTGGTATCCCTGACCGCTCTGCTGCAGAATTTTATATTCCTGATCCAAACCCGAAATACGTTAACAAACTTTACCTAAATCAAGACAAGTGAGACCCCTTAGGCCCTTACCAACTTCTTAAATTTAAACAGGCTAATGTTCAAGAGCCAATCACTGAATAATGCAATTTACTTACATATATGTCTTTGTAACTTTTGTACAATTGGTAACTAAAAGAAAACATTCTGTCGTAACTTTATGCCAGATTTAGGCAGTATGGTTTGTGGGAGAGATATGCAGAGCTATATCCCGAGAACGATTTAGTCTACACAGTTGGAGTTAGTGACTATCAGAAAGACTGGTTCTTTGCTCAGGTTAACAGGTACTTTCTCTAACATTTTCCCCAAAACTCATATTTTGAGTTGTATTAGATGATAAGAAATCATTTTTCGTGAAATCCACTTAACTCACAGGAAAGAATAAATCTGTTCCTACTGATGACTTCCTTTAGACTCTCAAGTTATTTCCAAGACTGAAGACATAATCAGTGTGTAAATACTTGTATGTGTAGGGAGATAGGTGACAAAGCATATCAAAGTACTACATGGCAAATCAAGTTCAAGATTGATAATGTAGATCAAGGTGGATCATACACATTGCGCGTAGCACTTGCAGCTTCCAATCATGCTGAATTGCAGGTTTCATACAAATATCTTACATAATGTGAACATAAATTGAATTGGTTGGAGCCATTGTATCTCAGTTCTCACCCAGTAATTGCCTGTTTGGTCAAAGCTTCTAAGGAGCCAAAAGTGCTTATTTGTTTTTATTTTTTAGAAGAAAATGCTCATTTTAGAGAGTTGAGGTGGCTTTGCCAAGCTTTTAGAAAGAAGACGTGTTTTTGAATGGTCGTCATGGTAGTAGCAGAAGCTGTGTTCTAAAAGCTGAATAAACAGCATTTTTCCTGTGAACACTTTTGGAACCTTGACCAGGCACAAATTGTTGCTCTAATATTGGCTAAGGTTCTTTCCAGGTCGATTAGTCAAATACAAACTTTTTTATTTTTCTTTTTACCCTCCCTAGGAGCTCCCACCCCTTTTGCTCCCTTGGTGACTTGAACTCGCAACCTTCGGGTTGGAAGTGAGGGGTGCTTACCATCCGAGCAACTCCCTCTCGTCAATTAGTCAAATACAAACTACTACTCTCCAAAAGTACTTTTTGAAATAAGCAGAGTTTAGGAGCTCGGCCAAACAAGCTATGAATGTTTGTTGCTTATCTAACTAATAGTGAAAGACTAACATGAGCTGAAACTTTTTGTAAAAGGTCCGGATCAACGATCCAACAGCAGATCCTCCCCTACTTTCAACTGGAGAAATTGGAGGAGACAATGCAATTGCAAGACATGCTATTCATGGGATCTATTGGTTGTTCACTGTAACAATACCTGGTTCACTACTTTTGGGAGGAGAAAACACCTTATTTTTGACACAAACAAAGACAGCCAACGCTTTCCAAGGGATTATGTATGACTATATTCGCTTGGAAGGTCCCTCATGCCAGAATGGAAACCTTTGATTAATTTTTTCCACACAAAAAATCTGAGTAGAACTATTCATGATTTGTTGGTATTTCATCATGCAAATAAAAAAGATTACATTTCACCATATTTGTAAAGATTACATTAATTTGATAGAGACTTCTTCGTATTGAATGGCCTGAGGATTTTACTTGCCAATATTTGGCTACCAGATTGGGAGGCAAGTTTTTATGCATCAAATAATAAAATCTTCTCTTAGTTTTCTCTGGTCTTCACCTTTACTTTGTTGTAATTAATATGTTGTTCAATCAGCATGTATATTCAATGCAGTAAAGTTACTTGAGATCCATGGATCATGACATGACAAGGAGAAAGGAGATGAACAGATTCTAAAGTTGATACCAATAGCACCCCAGAAGCGGATCCAAATTTTGAAATTTCTAAGTTCTGGACGTGGGATTCCAATTAAGAGGCAGAGCCATAATTTAAAGCTTGTGAGTTTTGGATTCGAAGTTTTTAAAGTTATTGGTTCCAAGTTAATAATATGTACATGGTCAATTGAATCTTGAAGACAAGTAAAATTTTTGAACCAAAGCTACTGAATTCAGCTGAACCTGTAGCGTATTCTCCCTCCGCCACAAGTCCCAATATCAAATGAAACAAGAATTGGGTGGATCTAACACAAACTTTGTGTCTAACTCAACTTTAATAACTAGCACTCATAATCTTCAAAAATACCGCCCTGTTGTGTGTCGGATCCTTCAAAAACTATGCATTTTATATCTAATATTGGTGCGGCAACATTTTTGGGAAGCCAAAAGTGCTTATTTTAGAGATATAGGTTGTTTGGCCAAGTTTTAAAGATTATCAATGTATGTATAAACTCACTCTCCAGTTGTATCTACAACAACCTTTGAAAAGAAGAAGATCCAATCAAATTAGTAATACTAATACTTATGTCCCTTACTTTCTGGCTTTTAACTCACAACTTATAAAATTACACAATAAGAAATACTGCATTTACCATTTTAAACATGTCATTCTATTGCTTTGCAGTAGCAATAGTGATTATGTACTCAATCTCCTCGGCTACTTCTTTCATCGAAGGCCTGCTTTGTCTTCTTTCCTCCAAGCAACTGACAGCCAGAAAACCGAGTGCCTTCATTGTCTCCAACTCCACGCTGCTTGCTCCCACCTTTAATGCAGGATCAACAGCATCCATTATTCTCTCTTCCTCTACCAACCTTTGCACGTAAATAGCCAAGTTTACATCATCCTGTGGTCGACCAAAGTCTATTGCCTTTTGGGATGTCAAGAGTTCCAACAACACAACCCCGAAACTGTACACATCACTCTTGTCTGTCAATTGGTAGTTCCTGTAGTACTCAGGGTCAAGATAACCAAGGGTACCCTGAGCACAGGTGGACACATGACTCAGGTCTGTATGAGCCAAACGTGAAAGACCAAAGTCTGCGACCTTAGCATTCAACTTGTCATCGAGCAAAATGTTGCTAGACTTGACATCTCGATGGTAAATAGGAGGAACTGCAGAGAAATGCAAGTAAGCTAGTCCCTCTGCAGTTGCATGAGCAATGCTGAGCCGGCAATCCCATGTTAGAAGTTTGCGTTGCAAATACAAGTGATCACTCACAGTTCCATTCGGGACATACTCATAAACCAGCAATGGCTGTTCAAGCTCAACACAACAACCTAGAATGCGCACAAGGTTCTTGTGGTTAACCTGACAGAGTATTCTGACCTCGTTGAGAACTTGCTCAATACCCTTAGTATTCCCTAGCTTGGCACATTTAACAGCAACCACGGTACCATCATCAAGTTTACCATAGTAAACTTCACCATAACCCCCAGCACCAAGAAGGCGGTCCGTAGAGAAATTGTTTGTTGCTTTCTTGATTTCTTTGCCTGTAAATAGCTTCGCAGATTTAACACCACCAGAGCTTAGAATATCTTCCCGTTCGCGAGTTAGTCGATCTCGTGCTTCCTTAATTCGTTTGTGACGTCTGTACACAAAAAAACCAATTACAGCAGCAATCACCGCCACACCCAGGCCTGATGTCAAACCTGCAAATCCAAGAAGCATTCAAGTATTGATCAACACAACAACCAAAAATAGTACTGATCAACCATCTTAATAACTAGATAATTTCAATTATTATAAGCTCCTTGAAGTCTCAAAATAGAGTAAAAAAACAAATTGTGCGGGCGTTCGATACAGGTGCAGAGATCTAACCTTCCTGATCTAAAGTATAAGATTCTGGTCTATGGATTCAAATACAGGTACGGAGATTCAGCTAAAAATAATGAGAGAAGTATCAAAAACACCTCTAAACTTGACGCAAATTATTAGTTTCATCCCCGACTATTGACAGCCTTAAAAACACCCATTTACTTTACAAATTGAAGCTAAATACACCCCCGATCTTGCAATAGGAGAGGGGTGTTTTTAAAGCTGTCAATAGTTCGAGGATAAAACTAATAACTTGCGCCAAGTTTAGGAGTGTTTTGATACTTCTCTCCAAAATAATTCAAGTATCTAAAAATAAAGTTATATGTTTATGAGACATTAGGTAGAAAACTTAGTTATTCCAAAGAAAAAATATTGATCACAAAGAAAATCCTACAAGGAGATAAAAGGAAAAGGACTATCATACAAATTTCTTTATACAAGTCAATTCAAATTTATTCAATTTCACCTTAGCTTTTATTTTTATCACAAAAATCATTATATATATCCCGCATTTCTCCGTTAATATTGATAAAAGTATCCAAATTTGATTGACCAAATCCAATATGAATCCCACACCCACATCTTTTCGACATATATGCGGCACAAAAAAATAAGAATCCGAACAACTTAAATAAAAACAGAGTAATAACTAAAGTAAATGTGACCCATTATACAATACCTGCTATGAGTGCAGTGTGGTCGCTACCACAACCATCACGATCTTCGCATGTCACATCTGCGTATCGAATTCAGAAATAGTTAAAACAAAGTCACATCCAAATCGAAATCGGAGAAATGATTTTCTAGCCTTTTTATAATTAATTTTTTTTCTATTTTATGTCATTTTTAATCAAGATCTTTATTTTTACACGTAAAGTGTTTATTTTTACGAGATCTAAAAAGTACTCTCTTTATAACTTACCTTGGGCACATAACGCGGCAATTGGGTCCCAATGAAACCCGGAATGACAAAAACATCTGTTAACACTTCCATTCAAATTCGGGTCGGGTCCACAGGTCGAATCAGAATCACAATCGGACTGACCCGTACAAACCGGCTCCGGTGGTGAAACCCACTGCAATTCCATCCCGGCTTCCGGCCATCTACTAACCGGTAACAACGGATCCAAATTCACAAAACTCCGGTAAGCCCGACAACCCGATTCCCTAACCCGAATCATATACGACGTCGACGATCCACCAGCCCTAAACGTACAACAAATCGGCGCGTTCCTACACGCGCCAACACCACCTCCATTTCCAGAACTTCCATTCACGTAAGTATGACACAAACTCTCCGAAGAGCAATTAAGCGGAGACGAAAGCAAAGACCGAGTACAGTTTAGGTAAATGATTGTGTTGCTGCTCGTAATGTTGAAAGGAAGAGAAGAATTCAATTGAACACCTACGGTAGAAATGTCCTGGGTGATGCAGGTGTTGGATAAAAACGGTGATGGTTCGATAGTAAGTCTTTGTAATTCGGGAGAAATTGAACTTATCGGATATGAATTGTTCAGCGTATCGAAGAAAAGTTCGGGTTGGATGTTGCTACTGCACCGTATTTTGTAAGATTGGTCACCGCAATCGGGGCCGGTACTGAGTGGGTAAGGAACAGGAGAAGATCCACAATCAGCACAACGACGAGCAGAAAGTACTGCAGGGGTGCTGCAGATTAGCAGAAGCAGGAGGAGCAGGGCAGCCATGACTTTTTTTTTTGGAAGATGAAGAAGGGGGTTGAATTTGATTGATTTTTATAGTACATTTATTCTTCTTATTTTCTTCTTTGGTTTTATTGGTCAATGAGGTTGTAGTTGTTTATAGAATTTTTTATTTTTGGTAAGGATTGAAATTTAGAAGATAGTGGATGAATAGTCTAAAGATTTGGAAGATTCTTTTAAATTTTTGACTTTTGACTTTTATTGGGATATAGATTTTTCAATTTTTTTTTTTCTTGTTTAGTTCTTATCAAGGTTTATGTTTTGAGTTAAATTAGCTCAAAGATATTATTCATAGAATATGATGTTGTCTTAATTTGGATTAAGTTTTTATGGTTTTGCTATTAATGTGTGATTTTGTTCACACACACTCAACGACTTCTTTTTGAATTTAATTTTATATAGACTATTACTCCATTTGTCCATATTTACTTATCCACTTTTTCTTTTATAATTGTCTCTAATTACTTGTTCATTTTGACAAATCAAGAAAGAACAAAAAAAATTTTTTTTATTATACTCTCAATTAATTACTTTGAAAAAGGTAAAATCTTTTGAAAATATTAAATTTTTAATTCATCCACTTCATAATTAATAGGGGTAAAATGGTAAATTCACTATGTCAATAATTATTTTTTTAATAGGTGTATCAATTCAAAAATGGACAAGTAATTAGGGACAGAGGGAGTATTAATATTCACGAGTCAATTTTTGCGAAGTATTAAATGTGTGTAGTCTATATTGTCTGAGTATTTTATGATAATTTAAGTCTGTAACATTATATATATTTGCTTCTCTAAAATGGTAAGAGATCGTAAATTGAGCCTGACGTCATCGTGTGTCATCGTCTGTCTTCGTCATACTTATCCTGCTAAATCTATACGATAACATCAGTTGTTGAGCTAAATCAATATAAAAATACTCTTAACAATGTGTGATATTATTTGCTTTAGATTAAATCTACACGATTTTCTCTAAACCGACTCACGTTAGCAAAAAATCCTACAACTTATATGTAGTTTTTCAAAAAAAATCAATTACCAATATGAAACATTATGCACACACTTAACAAAATTGATAAATGTTTTAAAGTCCTAGCTTCTATATTTCGTTTAATCATTATTTCTTATAGAGTGAAACGCGCTAAACCTCTCCAAAATAGAGTCCGTGCTTCTGATTCATTGACTATGCAAATATAATTGTATGTTGCTATTCTAAAACACTTAACCGTTCAAAAGCTCTATTGTTACGATATTTAATTTGGTCTTAACTTATATTTATGTCTTTCAGTTTTGGGCATGTATAAGGAGATATTTAAATTTATATAAAGTTGAACAATGAGACACATGTCTTATGAAGCGTCCTACATGGCAATTCACGTCTGACATGTATTATGCCACATAGAACACGTGTGTCTATTTGTTCAATTTTATACAAATTTAAACATACTTGCGCGACCCAAAATTGAAGGATATAAATGTTAGTTGAAACCAAGTTAAAAAATACATTTATGTATATGTATTTTCGGATGACATTGCCAACCACCTATGTCGAAATTCAGTCCACACTTATTTATTTATCTAATTACTCGATTTATATTATATAGCTTCTCAATCATTTTATCATTTGTTGTATTTTAATTTATTTAGTGAAAATTACAAAAGTATACTACTTAAGACTTTATTTAATTACAAACATAGTTTTAAATTACATACATAACTAATTAATTAATTTTCGTTTTTAAGTTTATTTATTTTTTCAGATTTCTCTCTCTCATGCTCTTTGATTAACGTGCATTTAATATGGAGTATAATTAGGGTATTAAATTTTTTCAATATTATCTCTCCTATTATAGTTCCATATCTACAGGTTTCTTTGATTATTATTGGAATCATATTTATTTTGATCCTTTTTTTATATAACTTTTTATGTTACCAATAAAGTTGATGTAGCCATAGGTGAGTTATAGTTTCTAGGAAATTTCCTTCAACTGCCAAACGTCTAAACTCTCCATATTCTTCATATTCAATATTTCATGTTGGTATATATTACCAGAATATCATTGTTGGATATTGTGTTAATTTTGGAATTTAACTACCTTTATTTGGTTCATTGTGTTGGTTAATTTCTTGTGAGAACTTATTGTGAGTTTGATTTATAAATCAAAAATGTGTGTTTTTGGTATATAATATAACTATGTGTGAGATTGGTATATAATACCAACATGTCAGACACTGTATACCAGCATTATTACATGTTTTAACGTAAGTAGTAGTTAAAAGATTCGATGTATGATGTGGGCATGTAATCCCAACATTTCATTCAAAACAGAATCTTTTACTTTTTCATGTAGGTATAAATTACCAGAATATCAGCCACTATATACACCAATGTTTACGGGATAGTGTATTAAAAGTGACAAAGTAGTTTGTTAATTAGGTAGGAGTCCTCCAAGTTTTAAATATTAGGTAGAAGTGACAAATATATAATTAATATTAATGAAATTAAAAAAATCTTTCCTCAACAGCCCCCAACTTTTAACTTTTACACTTTTACCCTATATTTTTTACCTCAAAATACCTAAAATTTCACTAAAATATATGAGAAGAAAAAAGGCGGTACTTTTTTCTCACCTGCAGCGTCTTCAACAACGAGCCTGAAGGACAACTACCAAGTCTTCAACGAGGCTGAAGTATGCTTCTCAATTCCCTTCTTCTTCTTTTTCTTCATCCTCATCATTCTTAATTTGTAAGCATATATGTGGTTTATGAGAAGATCTATCAAGAAAATTTTGTAAAAATGGATACCAAAATTTTTTGAACTTTTTGCATTGCATTGGTTCCGTTTGATCTTGAAATTAACTCAAAAGAGCATTATTGATAAGTATAAAAATTACTTTGTGTCCATTCTTCAGCTAGGTTTATTAAATCTAATTTGATTATTTCAGCCAACAACTTTCGTAGTTGTCTGAACAACTGCTGAAGTTGTTTGTAGAAATAAATAAACATCTCTGTCAGATATAGAAATTGTCTAACAACAGTCTGTAGCTATCAGACGATTATAGAAGTTGTCCAACAACTGTCTGTAGTTATCGGACGATTATAGAAGTTGTCCCAACAACTACTGCAGTTGTTTGACAGTTGTGTTCAGTTGTTGGTCAACGGATTAGTTTTTAGGACAAGTAATATAATTGTGGGAAAAGTATTAATTGTTGAAATAAATAATTGAAGAATTATAGCAGTCTCCAAAGCTACTAAACTTTTATGCCAATTGTTGATAGTTGTGAGGTAACTAAATAGATGTAAAACAAGTAATCAATGTTCTTTTGCAATTTTGCAATTCTTTGATGAATGTCTTACTTGTGATGTCTCCAGGTATTGTTTCCCTCTATGGAAGATCATATAATAATAGGAGTTGATTTACATGGTGAATGGGTGGAGAATCCTACTCGTTATACTTAGCGTTCGAAGGGCCGAGAGACAGTACCGATAAAGATAAGCGAGAATGTTATGTAAGATGAATTAGTTGACATCATTGTTTCTAGGTTTGAATTAAATTGTGATAAAAATGATCTCTCTATTAGTTACATGATTGGCTTTATTGAAAAGCAAAAATGAGCTCCTTCTAGGATAAGAAACGATCTTGATTTGCGATTTTTTTTGGATGATCAAAATAGGCCAATTTTAAGGATATCTGTGGTTGAGAAGATTATAGAGACTACAAATTCAGTTGTAAATGATGAAGAGCATCCTATTACAATGGATATTCCTATAAATGAGGAAGTTTCACTACATTCGATATCAACACAAGGTAGCCGCTACACAGATGATGACGGCACAAATTTTTATAAGGGTAAAATTTTCAAGGACAAGCAAGAATTAATTAAATTGTTGAAGCTTGCTTCCGTGAAGAAAGATCAAAGATTCAAATCTGCGAAGAGTTCTAAAGATGTGTATTGTGCTAGATGTGTAGATCAAAATTGTGATTGGTGGTTGCGAGCTACAAAACTTAAAAGTTGTAATAGATTTGAAATTACAAAGTATCGCAACATTCACTCATGTGGGACACAACACCTTACAAGTCATCATCCACATGCCTCAGCAGATGTCATTGCAGAATACATACAACCTAATTACTTGAATGGAAAAGGTCCCTCCACAAAAGACATAAAAAATATAGTGCAAGCAGATTTGGGCTGCAAGATTAGTTACTGGAAGTGTTGGAAAAGCAGTGAGATAGCAAAGGCTATGATAAGAGGGACACCGGAGCACTATGCAGTTCTAGATGGTTATCGTCATATGCTTATGACTATAAATGAAGGAAGCAAGACATCGTCAAAGCTTGATGACAAGGGAAGGTTCAAATATTTTTTTGCATCTTATGGAGCTTGGATTAGGGGGTTTGTGCATATGAGAAAAGTTTTAGCCGTTGATGGAACATTCTTAAGAGGTCGTTACGATGGAGTTTTGTTGTCTGCTGTCTCACAGGATACAGAAAATCATGTTTTTCCTGTTGCATTTTGTGTAGTAGATAAGAAATGTGATGCCGCATATGAGTACTTTTTTGAGAAATTGTTGGACATAGTCCTTGATACTTCAGAGTTGTGCATTATTTCTGATAGGCATCCAAGCATAGAAAAAACACTATCAAAATTTTACTCTGAAGCATACCATGGATGTTGCACGAGGCATCTTGGTGAAAATGCCCGTGAAAATTTTCATTGTGGAGCTTTTCTTGGACATTATTACCATGCAACAAAAACATATCGAAGAGATGTGTTCCATCACCATTTTGAACAAATCCAAATTATCAATGCGGAGGTCGCTGATTATCTTGAGAATGTTGGGTTTCACAAATGGAGTAGAGCATATTTTCCAGGAAACAGGTAAACTTTCTTACTAGTTCAAACATAAATATTGCAGGTCTCTAACAATTGTTGTAGTTGTTGGAATAATTAGTATAGTTGTTCGAACAATTATTGTAGTTGTTGGGACAATTATTATAATCGTTGGAACAATTATTATAGTTGTTGGACAATTTTCATAGTTGTTTCAACAGCTGCAGAAGTTGTGGGACATTAAAAACAGTTATTTTCAAAACTACAATAGTTATTAAAAATCAGCAATAGTTTGTATTTTAATTTTTGACATTTTTGAATTTTTATATTTCAGATATAATGTATTGACCTCAAATATTGTTGAGTCTGTTAATGCAATATTCAATGAAGCAAGAGAATTTTCCATTATTGCCTTGTTCAATGATATAAGCAAGAGATGGTCGAAAAAATTTCATGAGAGAAGAATGGCATACGCCAAGCTAAAAACCACCTTCGTTCCTTCAGCTGAAACTAAAATAATGGCTAATAAGAATTTGGGAAATAAATTATTGGTCCATCAAATTGATGAAGACACCTTCAGCGTCACCGCGGACAATGGAATCGCAATGGTCCATCTTCGAAGTAAAATATGTTCGTGTCGAGAGTTTGACTTGGATAAAATACCCTGTCAACATGATATGGTTGCGCTCAGACACAAATTTGGAGATGAATATGGCAAGATGATTTATGAGTACTCTTCTCCGTATTATAAGGTAGAGTCATATATACTTGCATATGCAGATCCAATCTATCCAGTGCCAGCTGAAGAATTTTGGAATCTTCCTCTGGAAATTTTAGAGAGAGTAATACCTCCACCTGAAAAGAAAACTAAACTGGGAAGGAAGCGGTTGAAACGAGTACCTACTATAGGAGAAGTGGTTTCAAAGAAAAGAAATAAATGCTCTCTATGTAAAAGATTTGGCCACAAAAAAACTTCATGTCCTACGAGATAAAATGAAGTTGCAGGAACAAGTAATGGTGTAGTTTCATGAGTTATTATCGTATGCATAACATGTATTTACAGATGCTATGATTAGTTCAAACAATTATATAGTTAAGATTTTTATTAGATGTATACCAACAACTTCAAAAGTTGTTGGACAACGGATATAGTTGAAGGGGTCAAGTTTTTCAATTAACTGCACATTATTAAACAATTGCTTTAGTTTTTCCAACAACTTTTTAATTGTCCAACGTCTTCTCATAGTTGTCCCACAACTTCGCATAGTTGTCTAACAACTCTAATAGTTGTTGGGACAATTTTTATAATTATTAAGATTACGTCACATTGATATTGAAGATCAATAGAGTTATTTTGTGAAATATTAAGTATAAACTAAGTCGTTTAACAATAATTGAAGATCGATCAAGTTATTTTGTGAATTATTAGTATAAACTAAGTCGTTTAGTAAAAATTAAAGATCAATCGAGTTATTTTGTGAATTATTAAGTATAAACTAAGTAATTTAACAATAATTGAAGATCGATCGAGTTATTTTGTGAATTATTAAGTATAAACTAAGTCGTTTAACAATAATTGAAGATCGATCGAGTTATTTTGTGAATTATTAAGTATAAACTAAGTCGTTTAGTAAAAATTAAAGATCAATAGAGTTATTTTGTAAATTCTTAAGTATAAACTAAGTTGTTTAGTAAAAAATAATGATTGATCGAGTTATTTTGTGGATTATTAAGTATAAACTAAGTCGTTTAGTAAAAATTAAAGATCAATCGAGTTATTTTGTGGATTATTAAGTATAAACTAAGTCGTTTAGTAAAAATTAAAGATCGATCGAGTTATTTTGTGGATTATTAAGTATAAACTAAGTCGTTTAGTAAAAATTAAAGATCGATCGAGTTATTTTGTGAATTATTAAGTATAAACTACGTAATTTTGTGCAAAACAACTAAAGAATTGGAGGAACAACTAAACCAGTTGCAGGAACAACTAAACTAGTTGTAGAAACAATTGAACCAGTTGTACGAACAACTGAAGTAGTTGTAGGAACAATTGAACCAGTTGTACGAACAATTGAACCAGTTGTACGAACAACTGAATCACTTACATGGACGATTGAAGCAGTTGTAGAGACAATTAAAGTAGTTGATAACAAAAACACAAAATACTGAAATAATTACATCAAAAACTAACACAATAATTTCATTGATCCAAATGTTTTGTCAATGAAGTACAAAAATCAACTTTGTACACAACTACTCTCTCAAGGAATTAATTCCTTCTCAAGCACAGCAACAACATATTTCATCCTAAAATTATCCACCTCATTGTCGTTAAGGCAGCTCATATCTATCCCAATAAGCAAGTGATCAATAAAAACACAGGCATATGGTCCACATGTCGCACGAGAATTGTTACTTGGCACATTCTTTAGACGCTTATAGACCATGCATCATTCAAAAAAAATTCAGACAAATGATTGAACATCCCGCTCTGCTTGAGTAGTTTGGGCCACAATTCGAGAATGGGCTGAATCAATGTAAGAAAAGTCGACTCATCACACATATGAATATTGCAATCATAAACTTGAATCAAGCCCTTCTCCATAAAAAAATCAAGTGCAATAAAGTGTGTATTCTTTATGTTCATCACGGTATAAATTCTTTTTGCTCCATTCCACTTTCGGCCATATGGATAAGGCATTTCACCCTTACAGTACTTGAGTATGTCACCGTCCATCTCAAACGATGTGAGTGCCTCATGCATTGGTGGAGCACCATCCACTAAACTCTTCTCTCTCAAGTTGTTGTACTGATCATACAAGGTGTTGTAGAAATTTAGATCTAAAATAAGATCTGTTTGGTCATAGTGCTTGGGATACCAAATCTGTCTCTTGCGCATAAGGGACAAGATCTCATCAACATGCCTCCAAAATAAAGTTGAGAGTCAATTCAATATCAATAAATTATTGTATAAATTAAAAATATAGTAGTATTTACCTTGCACTCGAACAAAAAATATGGATCAGTCATGCTCACCAAGTCCTGATAATTAAATCTACCATTCAAATACATTTTTCTTTCCTCTTCCTTTTTGCTAATGAAGACACTAAAGATCTCTCTTTTCTCCACATCAAGAGGTTTGTACAAATTCACTTCCAATCTACTCTTCATTGCATTTTTGGTTTTGGAATTCATGGCCAACCTTCTTTTTAACGCAGGAGTATAAGGAGATTTTCTTGCATAGCTCGGATATATAGTCCTCTTTGATTGCTGCCCATCTAACTTTGTTGACAAAGATTTTACTTCATTCAAAAGAGTTTCATACTTATCACAACATGTTTCACATTTACAGCAACAATCAATATTGAAGGCATTCACATTTGTTGTTTTTATCACACCAGGGGTATCTTCTCCCCTACCAAGATCAGCTAAATATGATTCATCTCTTCCTACTCCACCAAAAGATCTACAAGTATCTAAAGCAATCTGGCCATCATCGTCTCTCTCAACTCCATAATTTCTCGCAACACTATTCTCTCCACCAGTTATCTCAAGACCTTCTTCAACAACAGTTATATTCAATTTTATAGCTGTTACAAGTGCCAACTCTTCTTTTAAAGCATCAATTTTTGGATCCGAACTATCTTCATATGACTCAATATCTTGAACATAAATTTGTTCCTTCTCTATGTTTGTTGGAAAAAGAAAAGGATGAACAACCTGATTTTGCATCTGCATTTTAAAAAAAAAAGTTATTCATAAATTAAAAACAACTGAATCAGTTGTCTAATTACAACTTCAGTAATATGTGATTGTGGAAATCACTTTTATTGTTGTTGGACAACTAAAGTAGTTGTGGAAACAAGTTTAGTTGTCTTATAATTACAGTAGTACTTCAATATTGCATAACACAATTAATATTATGTAGATATATAATATTTTTGAAATAACTAATTTAGTTGTACAATAATAGCTAAGTTGTATGTTTACAACTTATACTGTTGTTGGACAACTTGAATAGTTGACGGAACAACAAGTTCAGTTGTCCAATAATTACACTATTTGTTTAACTTTTGCATAACACAACTACTAATATTATGTAGATATAATATTACTTGTTCTTTTGTCTGATAAATAGGATCAATATTTGTCGTGTAAGTAGGTGTTCCAGCCATCCATTTAATCATTCTTGAAATTGATTTTTCAGGTGAAGAATCCTTGGCCAATCTTTGAAGTGCCGGAATAGCTTCAAACGCCCAAGCCTACAATATAATATTAAAAATAGCTTAGTATAGATAATAAAGTCAAATAATAATTTAACTAAAAATTATAAAATAAAAACATCAATTTAATTACTTACGGCGAACGCCCACGGACATCCATGAAGATTATACTGAGATTTGGTTGAATCTAGCTCTTTCAAAAGATAGCTAATGTTAAGATCAAAGCTAACTCAACCCCATGGATATGAATTGAACACACTTTTTTTGGACGCCATCTTTAGCCAATGAGTTTCTATCTTCTTTTCTGCACTTTTTGAACACAATACACAATGCAAAAATCAAACCATACTAATAGCAAGCTTTTGCTTTTTGGTTAAGCATGGGTCACTCATCTTTTTTATGAGTACAACAACATTTGCAGATTGACCCACCAGATCAACCAAAATTTCACCTTCTTTTCCAATTTTCGCTAATTGTTGACTTAGAGGAGGTAGGGAATGACACCGAAGTCCAGTCATAATAGCGAATTCATTAATGCCAAAACAAAGAGGCAAACCATTATAATCAATTCAAACCTCTTTTTTCTTTTCAGAAAATATACGACGAAGACAAAGGTCATGTACTAACTTCATTGGAAGTTGTACTGCTACAGATTGATCCAACTTCAAAAAGTGACCAAAACAAGATTTTTTTAAATCATTTACAATTTTTTGTGCGATTAAAATCTTTCTAAACTCAACAAATTGAGCTCCAAAACCAACTCTCGCATTGATTCTTGAATCATAAGACCCAGACACACTCAAGTGGGTCTTAAACTTATACTTATCATTGAAAATGATTTAAACATAATTTGGAGAGGATTCAATACCTTCTTCTTCTTTTTCATTCGATTGTTCACTTTCACTTTCTTCACTTTGTTCCTCTCTACTTGATTCATCTCCATGACTCTCACCATCTTTTTTTCTTCACTTGAATTTTTGTTGCTATTTTCATCACTTTTTTCTTCACCTGATAGGTCACTGTTATTCTTACTTTTTTTTTCCATTTCACTAGATTGATCGTCGCTACTTTGATCACTTTTTTCTTCTCCAGATGGTTGTCCACCGATACTTTGAAGTGTTGTGGTACCTCTTTTTCTAGCAGCAGTTAAGCTCTCAGCATTTTATTTAGCATTTGGATTGGATGAAGATGTTCCAGTTCTCTTCCTCTTATATTGAAGCATTATAGCTACACTAAAATAGTTAAAAGTTAGTAAATAGTAAGAAATTAACTGAATAGGATCAACAAAAAAGGAGCAATAGTGGTACATTATAGATCAATAATTAAATTATTTGTCCTACAACTAATCAGTTGACCAACAATTAAACACAATTGTCTAACAACTGCAGTAGTTGTTGGGACAACTTCTGAATCGTCGGACAACTACAGGAAGTTGTTGGACAATTTCTGTATTAACAAAAATATAAAGTTATTTCTATAAACAACTTCAGTAGTTGTCCAAACAACTACTTAAGTTGTTGGCTGAAACAACTAAATTGAATTCACTAAACCCAGCTGAAGAATGGACACAAAATATTTTTTACACTTAACAAAAATGCTCTTTTGAGTTAATTTCAAGTTCAAACGGAATAAATATATGTAAAAAAACAAAAAAATATAATAGCAAGATGATGATGATTTTCTTCTTTATTAAACCCTAGTCTTATCCTTTGAAATAGAAAAGAGAAGAAAATTTACCTTGTATTAGAAGCTACTGATTGAAAAGAAAA